CACGAGGTCACTCGATTCGTGCTCATGTAATATTTTAGAAGTTGTATTTAGGGGTAAAAAAATATTTTCAATATAAAATACAAAAAGAATATCTACAATATATAAGACTTTGAAATTTTCATAGAGGACGACTACCCCAACTCGGTCCTCTCGGTCCATCCTTGATTGTATTTATAATATGTCACATAATATTTTTTCAATTATAGGGTATTGTTTTGTTTAGTCCATCGACTAATAAAAGTTACAAAATTGTTACCCTAACTACTCGTATGTTATAAACTCATGTTTTTATATAATAAAATTAATGGATGTCTGAACTGGACGTTAACTTGTTGACTAGGATATGAGAAAATTCGATCTTAGAACCGTTTAAGTTATTCTCGTGGATTGACTATTCGTTTACATTATGTCATCGAGCCAATTTTAGAAAGCAACGACGGTGCCCATAGACATCATTGAAATATGATTTTATTATATCTCGGTCAATATGATAACGTCTAGATCAAACAATCATCAAATTTCTAATGAAAATAATGAGTTTATAACATATAAATAGTTAGACGATCATGTTAGAACTTTTAATAGTCGAAAAACTCAACTACATATTATTCAATAGTCGATAAATTATTTTATAAATTTTAATAGTAAAAAAAATTAACAAAATAATGTTTTATAGTGGAAAGTATTCGTATACTTTATATAATAATATATTTCATTTAAAGAAAATTCAACAACCAAACGGAAAAGGAAAAAAGAAAGGTACAATTGAAACTTGGCAAGAGAAGGGTGATTCCCAATGAGACTAACAAAAAAGAAGATAAGGTTGAATTGTTTGTAATGTATGAGACATGAATAACGTATTTAAAAAACATTTTTGTTGAGTCAAATTGGACGGTCTGCTAAGTTGTTTCAAAATCTTGGATCTGATGATTCAACATTTACCCTATACCTCTCTTCTTAATTAGTTAAACCCCTAAACCCCATGATTCATACATTTTATATCGTTTTATAATATTCTATTTTATTATAATAATATGTAAAACAATTTATAATGACGTTATGTTTTACTATAACCATATCTTTCAAATTCAACTTTTTACTGTAAATTTTATTTTGCATATCTTCATAATTTTATTGTTACACTTGTATAATGTTTGACCGTTGAATTTTTCTTTCTGATTAACTGCCACCACAACACAGTTGTACGATTTTGCAGACAGTTCTGTGTCCTTAAAGTATATAGTTGAATAATTGTGTTTAATTTGATTTATAAAAGTATTATGTGTATATCAATTATTAAAACTATTTAAATAAATATTCTTATTGGTACATAAAAATTTAGATTAACCATTACTCTTTCGATTTAGGGTTATGATATATTTAATATTTAATTAAGATTTACGTAACAATTTAAAAATTATTCACTAAAAATAACAGTGAAAAGATTCCAACTTGACGTTTTAAATTTAAACTTCTAAACTCCAACTATTATTTTCAACGCTCGTGAATAAATTTAAAATATTATTTTATAATTATATAAGAGTATTTAAAATAAATTGTTTTATAAATGTCAAATATCATAAAGTAACCAATTGGAGTCGGACGAATTTATGGTAAAATGGTGAAGGGATTCCAATGCTTGGCTGTTCACCATTTCCATGTCAAATCCAATGATCAATCTTCTTTAAAAGCCAGCTCATAGCCATCAACAATTTTTCAAATTCGAGTGGCCAATAAAAAAACATTTTAAAAATATTTTTTAATTTATATATTTAGAAAGATGTGAGTTTAATTGTACTTTAACGTGTTAGTTTTAATTCAAAGATCCGGGGATCATGAAGATTATCTTTTGATTTAATAGTTATACATCATCATTAAATTTTGGTGTCGATGGGGGGCATACATACACATATATATATATATATATATATATATATATATATATATATATATACATACATACATATATATATATATAGTTGTTAAGGTGATAGAGAGGAATTTATACAAAATTTTACTTCAAAAGTGATGAACATGCAAATTTTAAGTAAAAATATATTATTAGTAAAAAATATAAAAAATATATAAAAATTTAAAAATTTTACTATAACAATTATTCCGATTAAATAATCGGTATTTTTGAAATATGTGGGTGATGAAGAATAAAACCAGATAGGAACCACCCATAAAAGGGAAGAGAGCAATAATAATAATAATAATAATAATAATAATAATAATAATAAATCTTTTTATCAGTCCAATAAATTCTGATATGGGGAATATATTTTGGATAATCACTGCTGTTCGTTATTGCTTGGAAAATAATTGTATGTATACTTTTCTTGAGGTTAAGTGTATGTACACTTTTAAAAAGCTATTGTTGTATAGACATTGGGAATAATATTTTTTGTATAAATCCCCAAAAAAATTAATTAGATTCGTTTTTTCAATATATTATAATAAAGTTTATTTAACTAAAGATTTGATTAAATATTTTTTTAATATTATGAAGTGGCTATAAGATAATATATGTTTAGATTTTATTTATTTATTGACAATGAATATACAACATGCATACGTAACTGCTTGAATCAAGAGTCATTAGAGAGAATAATCTTTTCTTTTACAACCGAGATCACTTGTTGGGTTCGATTAAATATTAAATATACTAATAAGGCACATTACACTCAATGAAAAATGCATGCTATAATCTTGAAGATGGCATTGTTGAGAGGGGGTAAACAAATAAAATTTAGTTGAATAAAAATATTCACTCCTTTTTACCATAACTTTGAGGGATGGACGATACAATTTTCTCATTTATAAATTTCAAAAAATGACTCTAATTATTTTTAAATTAAATTTACCATTATTTATTTTATTAATGTAATTAAGAATTCTACTCACAAAAATAAAAAAAATATAAACCTTATCACCCAAATCAAATGGACCACAATATATCCGGGTTGGACCTATAGAATGTAAATCCAAACCAACCTATTTTCCTTTCTTTTTCTCTATTTTTTAATTACCTTATATATAATATTATATTTTGACATTTAATAGATATTTTAATGTTTATATTCTTGAAGTTTATCACTTACTATGGATGTGACATTTACTTATATTTCACTATTAGATAAAACATGCATGCATATATTATGAAAAAAAATATAAATTTAAGATTTGAAATGTATTTTTAACTTATATATATTGTGTTGAAGTTATAATTTCTTATAGTCTGAAGTTAATTTATTAATTTTTCTAACTATTAAAAGTTATAAAATGATCATCCGATTATTTATATTTTTTAAACTCTTCTTTTTTTTGTTAAAATATCGACGACGGTTTAAGCTGAACGTTAAATTACTGCCTGTGATATGATAAAATTTGATCTAAAATTTTAAATGATTATCATATATTAGTCAATATATTAATATCTAACTCAGTCTTTCATAATTGTTTTAATGAAAAAGAAAGTGTTTTGAACGCATGAATAGTCAGTAGACTATTATATAACTTTTAATACTTAGTGTATTTAATAAAGTAATATTCTATAATTAGAAGACTATTTTGTAATTTTTACTAATTAGTGACTCGGCAAAGCAGTGTTTTATATTCAAGTATTATTTATGTATTTTATCCTATTTTTTAGATTTTTTAATAATATTAAAAAAATAATGTATTTCGTCTATTTACTTCTATTTTTAAATATTAATTAGGGGCACCTAACCATTTCTTCACATACCAATAGATATTATTTTTTCTTTTAAAAAAATTATATAATATTGTTTTATGGTTTCAGCAAACAAAAGGTATGTTGTTCACCTGATCTACCCATCTTTCTTCATATTTTAGTTTTCCATATTTTATGGTTAAAACATAACATTTTATATAATTTTTAATATATTAATCATTTTTAATATATAAAATATTACACATGATAGTTTTTAATGCCTTCTTTGAATCAATTTTGTAACATTATATTATGGTTATTTATTGATTTTTCCTTTGAAAATTAATACCTGACTTAGTCAAAGATTGCTGGTTATACCAAATAATAAGTAAATAAATATATAGAAACACTATGCTTACTTTTCCCCTATCATTAAATCTAAGTTACCAAACCAATTCAGCATTATAAAATTTTAAATAACTTAATTTAATTTTATGGATTTTGAAAATTAACTTATGCTTTACATATATGCTAGATTATCAGAAACTCACTATGTGGATGGTTAAAAAATTATGGGTAAAAATTACTTTTCAAAACAAAATATGAAACAATGGATTACACATTTTAAAAACAATTCATCAAACTATTTTTGAAGAGTACTATTCTCCTTAAATATTTTGGATTTGAGATGCGAATATATATATATATTTTTAAAATTATTAATCATAAAACTTAAAAAATACAATATAATTTACTAAAAAGTAGTGATAATTGAAAAATATTAGTATTTTTGTTTTTTTAGAATTTAAGGATTAATAATCAAAACAAGAACTCGGATATAGTTGGACCAGTTGCTTTCATTTTATCACTGCCTCTCTTTATCTCACACACACAATTGTCAATCCCACGCCATCATCTGATCCTTTGGTTTTAGTGAATCCAGAAGCAGCAGATTAGCTGAACCAAAAATTAGCGAATCTTTTTACTATGGGATAAAGGGGAGATATGATAGTAGATTATCCTAAACGTCAGGTTGAGAATATCTTCCGTGAAAAAAATTCGAATTATGAAATACCTTCCGTGAGATTTGATCTCACGACTTATATTCTATCAACTGGACTGGAGGTACAATTCAAATTAGCTGAAACAATCATCTCTTTAATGTAACACAAAATATTTCTTTTTTAAAAAGCCTACTTTTCCTTGAACCTAAAATCGTAAAGATTCAACTTTGATTTTACATCTCTTTTTCGGCCATTGATAAATCCCTGAGCTTTTTTTTTCATGATCTTTTGAAGATTAGAGCTTTAAAAACAACATATTTATGGCTACTTTCTGCTGATTTCTGTAATAGTGTTCCTTCCAGAAGATCTCTCTCTTCTTTTTTCTCTTTCCATCGTTTTTATTACCTCATGCTTGGCTTTGTGTTCTGTGTTTTTTTTTTTCCTTTCTTAAATGAGTGTTTGAGTTAGTATGGTGAATTAAGCAGAATAATCCCTTGTCGGAAACAATCTTTGTCCTTTTTTCTTTTTAATGGATTCTGGTAATAGTGGTAGTTTGCAATCTTCAAGTGGTGGCAGTGAAGAGTTTGATTCACGCGTCGAGTCAATCTCCGCTTTTTTGAGCCTTATCGGTCATGGTCATGGTAATTTGGGTGACCAACCGCCCCCGTCTCCGCCCTTACCGGTGCTGCAGGGCCATTCTCCGTCGACCACGTTCGACCCTTTATCGTTCTTGGATCATCGATCACTGCAACTTTCGACGACAACAACGGCGAATCCGAGCTCGGTCCTTGATTTGATTTGGTCCAAAAATCTAAGATCCGAGCCCAGTTGCACTGATCTCAGTGGTTTCATGGCTTCCTCATCAGCGGCAACGGCGACTCAACAGCTCTTCACCAACCAACAACCACAAAACGGAGCCACTTTTCAATCGTTGCAGCCGGTTCCACAACGACCAGAAAGTTCGGTTTCCGCCATAAACGGCGGCCAAACCAACAACAAGAGCAATACGGCGCGTAATCCAAAGAAGAGATCCAGAGCTTCCAGGCGTGCACCGACAACTGTTCTGACCACAGACACCACCAATTTCCGAGCCATGGTTCAAGAGTTCACCGGATTCCCGGCACCACCGTTCCCCTCCTCGCCTTTTCCGAGAGCCAGACTCGATCTCTTCGGTCCACTGTCGGCCACTTTGAGATCAAACCATTTAGACCCTTCACCGGCAGCTCCCCATTATCTTTTAAGACCATTTGCTCAAAAAATCACACCTCCACCTTTTCTTAGCTCATCAACGGCTGACGCTATAGTTTCTAATCCTAGTACTAACAACAACAACAACACTAGTTCTTGTTCAACTTCCATTAACTACCAACTACCGACAGAGTTAGGCCATTTAAAGCAGCCTCAGAATCTACTCAACATCAACATGCAAAACCCAATTCTCAACTTTCATTCTTTCCTTCAAACCCCTCCAAAATACCCATTTTCCTGTTCGAACATGGGTGTTCCACCGACTGAGTCGACTCTCAAAATGGGTGGTTTAGATGAATCTGACTCGAGCCGGGAGCGGCTTCCAAACATGGTGTCTCCACAAGAGCGTGATGATCAGAATCTCCTAAGGCCCATCATTGGCGGCTTCGACGGTGAGGACCGAAGAGTCTCGAATGGGAAAGCGAGCAACTTGTCGTCGTCGTTTTCGCCGAATTTTCGTGGCGATAAAGAGCTGGAACACGTGGGTAATTCCAGAAGTGAAGGTATGGTGGAATCATGGATATGTTCTTCAGATTAGGAGTATCTAATTTCATTAAAAAATAAGAAGAAGAAGCTTTCATAACTGGAAAATCTGAACAAAGAATATCAAGGACATGGGGGTGAATATTTTTCACAATGATGCATAAAAGAGGTGGAATCTTTCTTGTTTTCTGTCATATTAACCACGAAATACTTAAAATTCAACCCCCATTTTGTACTATTTCTTTTTTTATCTCTGAGGTTTATTTAACCCTTTCCTTTTAATTTAATTATATGGATATGTAAATAATAGTCTCTTGATTTCACGTATTACTGTTTTCATCATGGCATTTAATTTTTAATGACCGTTTGTTTTTAGAATATTTATGCTTAATACATTATTTTTTTGAACTGAAAAAAATCAATTAATTGTTATAATCGTTTTATTAGCATCAACTTAACCAGTATGAGGTACTAATTAGCTTTATATTTTGTTTTATTTTAAAATGTTTTAAAAAATAAAAATGGAAATTAAGAGTAAAATGTGTCTAAAAATAGGAAATTTTGAGATGTATAAAAAATGAAACCTTGAAATAAGACAAAAAGATATATATGTTTATTTTTAAATTTGGGGATTGAAATTGATGAGTATTTTAAGGATCAGAATGTGAAAGTAAATTGAATAACGAAACCATGAAAATCTGTGCTCCTCTCTCTTCGTAAAATCATTAAGGGTTATATTTTATTATCAGATTTTTTTTATATTACCGAGAATGTCATTATTTTTCTTCTATTAGGTATTGTTGGATTACCAGCATTTTGTATTAAAATGCTCTTGATTTTTTTTCTTTTTAAAAATATTATTTTTCTGTCATTGAATAATAAAAATTCTATTAATGTTAAATTACAAATTTATTCTTAAACTATTTTAGATTTTAAAAAAAATCTATAATTAAAATTTTATATGAAGTTCAGGGGTTAAAATAAAATTTTACCCTTTCATTAAACTTTTTTATATTTTCAATTTTGTAAAAAGATTATATAATTTTTATGAAGTTAATTTTTTTAAAGAAAATATATAAATATTTTCAATTTTGTTAAAAAAACAAATATATAGTAAGAATAATTTGATTAAATATGTATTCTAATAATCTTTTTATTTTTTTAACCAAATACAGTAATCTTACATTATTGCTAAACCAACCAAACACAAAATACAATATTCTCAGTAATCTTATTCTCTGGTAATCTTTTATTCTCACTGATAATCTTACATTCCGTAAACCAAACGCACCCTTAGATTTTTTGAAACAATAATTTGCAGCAAATTTTGGAGTGAAAAATAAACCAAACCCTATGAATTCACGGTGAGAGATCTGACGAAAGGGTTTTGTCTGTATGAAAAAGTGCATGGATTTTAAAATTTAATTAAAAGAGGGAATATTCTAAATTTATTTTATTTTTACTAAAAACTAATTTATATATTATGCCTACGAGTGACTAGCGGCGAGATTTGGGGAATTCTTTAGTCGCCGCAACATCACTTTCAAATTCACATTATCTCCTCCTGTTTGAGTTTGTGCTTCATTAATATATTCACTATCCTCTTTAAAATTGGTATTGATTCGGTAAGTATATTAACTATTAAAAGTTATATAATGTTATTCGATTAAGAAGTGATATTTTATCAAATCTTTTCACAATTAAAAGTTATAAAACAGTAATCCGATTATTTATCATATTTCATACTCTTTTTTCAGTTAAAAAAATAACGATTGTTTAAAATGAGCGCTAATACGATGACAAAGATATCATGATATAATGAAGAATTTGAAATGACGCTATAAAATTAGAAGGAAAAATATAGTTTCCCGCCAAGGGATTACAATATTTTTGAGACATCATTGTTGCAAAGTGTTGGGAAAATATGATTGCATGAAAGGGTGTTATATCTAAAAAGTTGCTAATCTTTTTCGTGTTATTGATTGATTCACTGTTTTATTTTCACTTTCAATAGTACTAACTTTCACACTAATGGTTTTAAATTTTGAAGGATGACAAGTGCGTGTTGATTTCAATTTTTTCTGAATCTTTTAGAAACCTACTTTAGTATCATCATCATTTGATTCTTTAATTTTATTAAATTCGAGATTTAATGCATAACGGATTAATTTTTATTGACTAGACATAACATTAGACACATGTTTTTGACGAAAAAATCTTTAGACATTAAATTTTTTTTCGAGACATAACTGTATGATGTCGTATTTCACATGTGAAGATACCGTCTAGAGCATTAGGATACAAATAAACGTTGAAAAACGAAAGCAATTGTCATTGCCAATGTCAACTATAAAGTTAAAAACAAATCGAAAAAACAGAACTACTTCCTTTCAAAAAGGAAAATGTCCCGTATATGTTTTAATAATAAAAATATGACCCGACATACCAAATCTAACTAAATTATTATAAATAATTTTTTAATTTTTTTTTTAAAAAATTGATTTTACTAAATCCATTTCAATTATAAGATTTATATATTTTATCGGATTATAACCATATTGGTTTTAATTTTTCATGTCTTATCCAATGTTATCATATCTATGGATTTACAATAAAGTCCTTTTATGTGTACGTTTTTCACATTATTACACATTACCCTATAGTGGGTCAGAGGTGATTTTCATGAAGGCCTAACCTGTCTGCCACTATTTATTTTTCAACTGTGACAAAACAGTTGCAGAGAAATTACAAAAATCTTCCCCCTTTTCTCACACTTTTCATTGCCTTAAATCCCTTCTTATACTCACATGAGAGAACACTGTTTTCAATTTGAATTTATAATAAGAAATTTGACGTTTTAGGTTTACATTTACTTGCTTAATGAGTATGATATGATCAAATAAATTAATAGTATGCTGTCATCCTTTAACATATATGTCAAGATTATCTCATTAAGTTATGTTAACAGGATTTTAAATTTACAGGTGTGCTCGAGATTGCATTTTAAGGGTTGCAAGTCATTCACGATCCAATCCAGTGTAAATGTATATATGTTTTGCCATATGTGTTGTTGTATAATCAACTAATTAAGGCATGCATGTCATGTTTTGTTACGTTTTCATGATGTTTAAAGGAAATAGAATATTATTAGAAGGTAAGTATGTTTCCATATTTTAATCCATGAAAAATAGGATAAGTGGCTAGATATAATAAGCATATTGTGGTCATAATATGAACCAAATAAAATGGCTGTCCCTTTTTTCCCATATGTATGGGGTAAGGGGGAGGTAAAATAGTATGTTGCCCCCAACACCAGGTTGAGAGCAGCTTCCGTAGGAGACCTCCAAATTATGAAATGCCCTCCGTGGGACTTGATCCCACGACCTCAAGGTTTAAAACCTTGTGCTCTACCAACTGAGCTGGATGGTCATTTCAATATGAACCAAATAGTGAAGAGTAAATGCTGCAAAAACAAATATGCTTTTGAGGTCTTTTATACTTTGATGAATCCATGGTGAAATTGGTGTTTTGATACATGTTTGAACCGTAATTAATTATGATATATATTGCACATGGATTAGGTAAAGTTTGATAGTATATTAAATATGTTTAAACATTATTTTGATAATTTGGTGCATTTAATATCAATAATATACTTGTGGTATCGATACCAAACTAATAGGTGGTATCAATACTACTCATAAGAACATCGACACCATAAGCAAATTTCATATTATAATGTCTCATTTTGGTACCACTATTGGAATTTAGTATCAATGTTGTCTCATCAATATTAATACTCAAATACACTGGCAGATGTATGTTGAACCCAGGGTGGGCATGGAACCCGAATTTCTTTACTTTAGTTGTGCATTTTAATTTTTATATTTTTTCTAATTTTTATTTTTGCAAATTTTAAGTTTTTTTAAACCCAAATGATAACTTCATTATTGACATAGGATACACTCTTATATTATCATGTAATAAAAAATTAACATTATTAATAAAAGTACAAAATGATTGGAATTAGTGTTCATGTTCCAACTTTGGAGCAAATTTTTTTACATACCAATTTGGGAGAAGATGACTAATTCATATATTAACTTGAAAATAAATAAAAAAGTTAAATACCAGTTTAAGAAAAAATATTTAATTAAGATATCAATTATATATATTAATTGTAATAATAGATAGCTCATCCATTATTCTATACGAAATAGATCATAGATTCATAAAGTTCAATCAAAAATATTATTGAGACTTCGATGCTTTTATTTTAACTTATTCGGATATTATGTTATTGTACCCATCCCTTACCAGAAATGACCATCCAGCTCAGTTGGTAGAGCTCTCAACCTGGTGTTAGGGGTAGCCTACTATCTTACCTCCCCCTTACCCCATACATATGAGAAAAAGGGACAACCATTTATTTACCCATCCCTTACCAACTGTCATTTAGATCCCTCCCTTTTTTCACAAAGTTTACCACTCCCTTTTGTTGTTGTATTGAATATGTGTGAAGTTTAATCGTTGACTTTTGTGTTCAGAGATCAAAGGTTAAGATTTGTTTTTAGTAAAATATTAATCACTCCAATATCAATAAAACCCCTAAAAATAAAATGGATAAACTACGCATTTAGTACTTAAATTATCAATTTTTTGTCTGCTTTAATATCTAAACTTTTAATTTTTTTTTCAAAACCATATCTAACGTTTAGTTTTTGTTTCATTTTTGTATATTGCCGTTAAAACCTTCGCACGTTTAGTACCTAACTATCAATTTTGGTCCATTTTATTTTTTTCAAAATTTAACGTTAAATTTAGAAAGAATTATTAAAATGAAAAAAATAAACTTTAGATATGATATTGAAAATAATAAAATTTAAGTTCTAAAACTGAAAATTTAGGTATTAAACACATAATTTACCTAAAAACACACACACAAAAAGAGAAAATGGAAAGCAACATGCAAGTGAGATGTGAAGCTCAAACACACAAAAAGGAGAACACAATCTGTCTAAAAAAACGTGTGCAAATGGATTGCGTCGCAACAAAGCTCTCATTTGACATTTGATAAAATTGCAAGAACAAGAGACAGATAGGGTATGATTAGTATTAGACAACTATCAAAAGACAAATCTATATATCAACGATAAATTGGTTTAGAGTGACGATGTATTAAATCTTTTAAATAAGATTAAGAGTTTAAATCTTATCGTTTATGAATATAACAAACT